CACAACTACATGACAGTAACTCCAGCATATTTCAGTTTGCTCCCACAGTAACATCCATGGTCCTATTTCAGAGCTTCCTGCTGCACAGTACCAAACACCAGTAACATCAGAATTTCATAGCTGAAAACACGTTGTGCAATAGAGCCACTGAAAAAAAATCCTCCAAGGAACAAGACTCCCATACCATTCTTTTATACAGAACAAGACCACACAAACTAACATCAGAAAACAGGGTTAGGAGTTCAGTAGCTTGTTTAAGCACTTTAAGTCTTGATAGGAACTATTTTTTAGGTAGGCAAAACACATTCTCTCCACTAAAAGCCAGTTCCAACAAATACATAGTCTAAAGTTCTTTAAGAAGTACAGACTAACACAGCCATAGAATAAATTTTAATCAATCATTATGTTAATCTTGAATAGATTTAAAGAACAGATTGCTATGATAATCCATACCAGTATTAAGACAAGCGTTCCACCAAGTATCTATTTCATAAGCTAAAGAAAACATTTTAGTCATGGTATTTTTGAACTGAATCCTACCTTTTAAGGGCCTCTTTCACTTCTGGCACTGAGCGGATACACTGAACCGTAGCATTCATGTAGCAAGTGTTGCCAAGGTTTGTCAATCCACATGGTAATTCCATCTACCAAAAAATTTACAAGGGTGCTTGAAGGTCTGAGCAATCTGCAACCAGTTTTGTATAAATGCTGTAATTTGACATCAACTTCTAAGAAAAGGAATGATCAGAGATGCGCAAAACCTGGAATATTCCATCAAACTTTATGAAGTTTTCCAGATCCATTTTCTGATTAAATTAATCATTCCACTATTCAGTGCTTTCAGAGGACATTCAGGAATGCTTTGGTTTTTTTCTGTGCATATTTCACTTAATGAACATATTCTTCAAGCAGGCAGTCATTCGGAAAGTTCAAGTATAATCTCATTCAAGTTTTGACCTTAAAATTCTATTTCCATGAAATTTCCACATGAATACATTTGTACAAAACACTGATGTTTTAATTAAAATCAGTTTTCAGGAAAATTCTGAATGTGATGAAGTTCACAGTTATAAACAAAAGCATTATTTAAACTTCTGTCCAGAAGTCTGCAACAGATCATTAATTTTATCCTTTCAGACAACTTGTGAATTTCTAAAGTTTTGACAAATGTGAAGGCCAACTAATAATTACACTATCCAGTTTCAGAAACAACTATAAATCACAGTATAATAGCCTTTTTCCCTTTTTTTTTTAATCCTGCAAATTTGAGTAGTTGTCAGGAAAAAGCATGTAGTTTTATGAAACTGTAGTACTGCATACCAATACCACTTAATTATTTTAGGAAGAGAGAATTCATTTAGCTGTGTATTCCATTTTTAATGAATAAATGCAGTACAGACAATTGAATTTCGATGTAAAACAAAATCTGAATGTGAGAAATGCAACGTGACCAACTTTTTCAAAACGTTGTCTGACACTGAATTATCTCTTTCCTTGTGCCTCAGTTATCCCAAAGTCTGCGTACAGAGTTAGTCTCAAAAATACACAAATATCCTTCAAGTGCTGTGGAAAGCATTAAATACTGAAGCACAAAACCAGTCCCAAAGTACAGATCTGTTTTCATATGGACATGCATAAAAGTATTCCCATTCTGCATGCACAGTTGACAGCAGTCATGCAACTGTTTTAAGCACGACAAAAAGCTCCTAGTTCAAATGACTGATGAGACAATTAAGCCTTTCCAATTGTAAAAAAGGAAACAAACCTCAAACAAACTCTAGTTTCCCTTCACAGATATGAAGGACGCAGGAAACAATTTTGCACATCTAAGAGCCCTTATTTAAGCAAAGTTCAGGACACTAATACAGCAAGAGCAATGCAACTTTGCCTTTAAAAACATCAGCAACGCTATTTTTAGAAAATTTTCTGAGCTGCCTGCTTAAAGAAAAAAAACAGCACTAACTATGACTTTCAAATTAAATTCTAGACTTCTCATCAATGCTACCAGTTGGGTCATCCATGTAAATCTGTGTTTCTTCAAGAAGCTATAAATGCTAGACAGACATTACAGTTTCAAAATCCACTTTCAAGCAACTGCAAGTTTAAAAACTTGCCATTATACAAAGGTTTACAAGAAACCAAAGTTTGAAATATGCTTACAGCTGAAGCCAACTGCTCCTCTGTCATGTCTTCTACAAAGATGGGTCGAGCAATCGGCTCTTCCGGAAGCGCATCTGCGGAACCCATCATTAATAAGGTCATCCCCTTGAAATACAGTAAAAATAGTAATAAATATTTAAGGATAGTTATTTCCACTTAAAAAAAAAAAATCATTGCGATTCTGACATATTTCAGCTATTTTTCCAAAACTAAACACAACCTTTCTCTTTGCTTACAGAACCGATACTGCACTGTTGTTTCTTAAAGGTATACCTTAATTTTCTCGTTACCTAGAAAGTATTTACTGACAACAATTCCACAGCATCATCCATGCTAGACGTTTCCACTGAGCCTGATGAGCTTGCCAGCAGCTGACCATGCAAGATTCCAATTGGGATTAAATTTAACATTCATGGAACACCCTAATGTGAAGCATCCAGAAAAGCTCCCTTCCTGATGGACCACTAGGGATCAAGAATCTTCAACAATTCAGTGCAAATCTTTCCCTTAAGTCTTAGAAAATACCTTGGAACCAAGGATAACTGAGCAGCTAAATTCCAATTTGAAAGAAGCTGCAATGTTTGAGCTTCTCAACTGACAGTCTCAAGTTCTCAAATCCAGAATTCTCTAAACAACAACAAAAATATTCCTCATCTTTAGCCTAGAATCTGGAGAAACACTTCAGACAGATGTGGGTAAGGAGGATCGAAGCTCTGAGTTTGGAATTGGTTTTTTTTCACCTGAAAAGCAAGTGGGAAAGGAAAGTGCCATCTGGCAAGTTCTGAGTGAATTAAACTAATCGAAAAGTGAAAAATAACCAAAATGATCCCATCAGTTTAGGCACGAGGACTAACATTTAAGGAGGAAAAAAAAAAGCAATCAAGTTACCATGCTTGCTGGACTAGCATAAGGAAAACGAGTTTTTCAGCATTAAACAGGAGTACTTCTACACAATAAGACCTACCCAAGAGGGAGCAAATGGCTATCTGAGGCCTTGCAAGAAACACAGTGCTAAGGAAAAGGATGGACATCAGAATGGAAAGAAACTGCTTTGGTAGCGTAAATAAATCCCTTGAACTTGATATAACATTATTAAAATTAATAAAGGCAGCTATTCACTCAACAGTATGCAGAAAAGGACAAGAATATGATGTACTGGGGCTTTTGCTGAATGACTGCTACAATAGCTGCAGCTACAGGCTGCTAATAGATGCTTGCGAACTAATCACAAGGGTAAGCGTAATGCTACCTAATACAATGTGCTCAGTGAAGAACTGGAGTATAATCTGTACCAAACAGATGGTACAATGTACCTACAGAAATGAAAACGACCAAAAAAACCCAAACAAACATCTCTGGGATTCCCTGTTACAATATTATGTAGATAAGAAACAGAAATACATTCACTTTTTGTTTTCTTTTTGAACTAGTCCAAGGTATGAATAACCATTACTAATGGCTTTGGTTTTAAACAGCAGCTATTTAGTACAGGAGAACAAATTTCAGCAGGTTGATAAAAAAGGAAATAGGCAGAGCTGTAACTTCAGCATTTTTAACACGAGATCTTCCACGCTGGGCACATACAAGCACCAAGCACAACGGACCACAGACAATGCCCAGGTTCAGACGCTGCCTCTAAGTAACATCGCTTATTACGATGGTCACAGACAGACCACATCGAAGGACCACTGGTCTGACCCAGAACACTTCTTGTAAGAAAGAAATAAATATATGCTCCCAAGTACTTCAGGAAAATGCTGTAATTTCCCTATTGATGCCAAAAAAGTTTTTTTACAAATCAATGGTGAGAACTTCGTAAGGATGTTTACGTATGACAACTATAAAATTATTTTTCATCAAGGTCTGATTTTTAACAAAGAGTTACCCATTATAACAGAAACAGCAAGAACTTAAAATCTTTCTTTAAATGCCAAAATAAAAATCAAACTAGTAAAATTTAGCTATTCCTCAGAACTTACATTCTTTATTTTTAGGTTCCCCCAGTCATCATCCTGTATTGAAATGAAATAAAAGACAAGTTAATTATTTTGCAGCAAAAGACAAGCAAGTATTTTTATTAATGTTAATCACATATTTCTAAATATACAATTGTGTTTCATCCAAGATTTCACAATATTAACTATTTACACATCATCGAGTCTTGTCTGACTAAAATAAAACGCAGCCAAGTTCATCTTTTCTATAAGGTTCTTCGTCTGTTGGTCAACACTGCTTAGAGGTAAACAACTTTTTGTAGGAAAGTTGCCTATATCGCCTTACACTGATAAGTTTCCAGCAAAGAAGTGCCAGAGAAACTTTTCTCAAACAAGCTAAAAAGCAAAAAGTCGCATTCAGATTCTGAACATTAAAAAGTAACAGAAAAAAAACACCAGGCAGAGCAGCATTTGGCAGAAAAGAGTGAAGAAGTGCTTCAAAGCAGCAGTGTACCTCCCGACCATTTAGCAACAAAATTCTGTAAGCATTTTCTAGTAGCAGGCAATGAATTATACAGAATTATTTCTGAAAAGTGCAGTCAGTTTAATATATACAATGAAACATCTTCTGGAGAAACAGACGGAAATATGGTCACTGCTTATTATGTTACAATGTAATAAAGTTAGAAATAAAATAAAAAACCACAGATTTCTACCTTCAGAGTTCCTCCTTTAACCATAACCTTCTGTCTAGCAGGCTGAACTCCAGTCAGTGCGAACAACTGGGCTTTGAAAACCATCGGAGGCTCGTCAGTGTTAAGCTCCACACCATCGAACTTCTCTTTTCCCCATTTCACGTTAACTGCAAACAAAATGTTTTGAAACTAGATTACTTCCTAATATACAAGAATCTAAATACTAAGATTAACCCAGTATTTCAAATTTCAGATTTATACCATCTCAAAACATTCCGTTTTTAACGCTAAAACTTGTCAATGATCAAGCTGAAGGACACCTTTTCTACATGGTGTCTCAGCCATCAGAACATACCATTTCCAACAAGTCTACAAATATCCTACAAAACAATTGTAAGCAACATATATACTGAGAAACTTAGCAGACAGTAAACATGTATAACAGCATCAGAAATTCTTTGGGCAAATCTTCACAAAAGCAGCTCAAAAGCAATGCTCCCAATCTCTTGGCACTGCTGAGTGCAAACAAATTTCTGAAGGAAGTTCAGACGTGCGATTCCAGTTCAGTTTTCCATAGCACTTCCGTTCTCCTTCAGTGGCAAACAATACCGTGTGCTTTAAAAGCAAAACAACTGTTTGACAGCTGTAGTTTTAGCTACCAGTATCGCTGACGTGGAGCTACGTGAGGAGATAAGCGTGTGTCAAGATGAGACCGATACAACGGCACACCTCCTGCTTCCCTTCAATGGAAGGTTAACCTCCCAGGGCCATTCACCACACCATCGCTGCGACCCTCAGTTTTGACAGTGTTCACACAAACAGCGTACCTGCCTGCAAATATGGACAACAGCCCAGCACGGGTTGCAGCTCCAGAAGCCCTGACCCCAGTAAAGGTGAAATTAACAAGTGAAGTTAAATCTGGTCATGCAAAGTGTAACTCTTGATGCTGCAAGTGGGATCACCAGCAGAAAAGACAAGCACAACAGAAAGGCACGTTAACATCACTCTGGTAAAGCTAGTACTAGTCAAGAGCAGACAAAAATGCCTGGAATAAACTGTGTTTGTAAAGAACAGTTGCACATCTTTGATCACTTCCAATCACTATCGTAGGTAAGCAAGGTTACCTTAGTAAGCTGCAGTTTTGCTGAAAATCTGCAAAACATAGCACACCATACTATCCCATGAGCACAGTATGTGGCTGAAACATCATACTGTAAGAAAGCCATATCCTTCCCTCTACCTGTGCTTCTGTTTTAAGTAGATATACTACAGCAACTCTAGGTTTTTTCCAATACAAAACTCTTAAAAGTCATGATTTAAAAAAACCCTTCCAAGAAGGTTCGGATTTCAGATGTATGCAGTGCTTGTGACAGGTAATAAGGAAGAATAACCAAAACTTAGTCTAAATTAAATCAGCCTACAAAGCAACTCAAATGACTGGCTTTTCAGTATTTCTAGCGGAAAGCACCCTCCGATTTACCCAACCTTCTGCTTTTTTTTTAAAAAAAAAACCCACATTTATTATTTTGCATATTTAAAGCCTACCAAGCACAAGTCTTTTCCCATTTTCCAGGAAGACAGCCCACTCAGTCACTGATCAAGTCAGCTGCACAGCCCTTTAAGTTTTGCATTTTTGAACATCCACTGCTAAATACGCAGAAGAGTTAGCAATTATTAATGTGTAGTGTCACTGGTTTTGACAACGCAGCACCCAGGTGGAGGAAACTGAAGCCCATGAGCATCTTCTCTTCAGAGATCGCAACCGAAATGTCACCAAAAGCTCCCAAAATAAAAAAGAAATTTGTTAATCTGAAAACAATGGAAAGGAAGAAAAAGGAAGGGCGTATTTGCCTGAACAAATAAACACGGATGAACAGAAAACACGGCTTATACAGGTAAGTCCTGTTATACTGACATCGCGATCCCAGTTTGCCAACCACAACTCAAACGGCGGAGAAATAGGGACACAGCTGTGTACCGAGGCCTTCTACACTCTGTTCCTCATAGACCAAAAAGCCCCAAGAGGCCGGACCCGTGAAACACAAACACGCCGGCAGCTGGCCCTACAAGTGTCACTGGAGGTTTTGCTCTTGCAGACTTCACTAGAAGCTCCCCCTCACGGCAAGGAGGGCAAGTGGGATTCGTCGCGATTTAAGAAAATTTTAGCTCCTCTGGTGTTAACTAGGAAATAACTGACTTAAAAGAGCGGAGGCAGATGCACCTAAATAAACCTGGAGGCGCGGGCGCAGAATTACGGCTGGCCTGACTGACAGCCGCACTCATCTCATCACCGCACAAAAATTAACCACGAAAAGGCAACACCCGGGGCACGGCCGCGGGTGACAGGCGCTGCGAGGCCCGTTCGCCCCCTCGGGAGAGCTCTCCCGGCCATCGGCACGGCTCCCCCTCGTCCCGGCCGGGCCGGGCCAACGCTTACTCCTCCTGCTCCTCGGGCGGCCAGGCCGCCTCCCGCGCCAGGCCGGGCCG